TAGCGATGTTGGTGGGGTTGAATCTGATTGATTCGCAGGACAAGTTCACCGGAAAGTCAAGGGTATGACTCTGTTTCTCTCATTCATTCTTTGTCAATGTCTTTGTGCTTTATGCTTCAAATGAAAAAGGGGAAGCTATCCACTGGACCTTCCATGTGCACATCAGTCTTACAGTCAAATCCTTATTTAACATTGTCTGACCTTAAACTTCAACATATGTATGCATAATGTGGACTGTACCACAGAAATTAGCCCTAAGAAAATATTTAATGAGACTGGGAGATCGCAGGCTGATGCTTTAGGGAGATTGAAACTGCTAAATGCAGTTGTATCTCTTTGATCAAATTCTCAAGGGTGCTCACTGAGACTTCAATTTGATTTCTCCTTTCACGCTGTCAATAAATCATTTAGTCTTACGCTTTTGGTTTTAAGATGGATGTCCTTTCCAGAGACGATTATGCAGTCTCAATAAACCTGTGGAAGGGTTGAATTCCATAATTATGGTAAAATTGCTTAATTTTCTAAGTAGAAAGAGTCTAACTGTCTGAGAGCATATTTTTTTCATTTTGATAGCAAGTGATATGCTTAGGAGACCAACCATAGTCCCATACAGATTTACCCATATTCCAGCTTGCCTTTAACTATAGAGCATCTGTCTGGGACCATTGCATACTAATTTATAATATCCTCTGATCGATTTTTGAAGGGCCTGGCATATGTGGATTTTGCCGATGATGCACACCTTGCTGAACTGTAGGAAGAACAAACAAATGTTTCTTGGGAAGAAGATAAGCATTGCAAGATCAAATCCGAAGCAAAAGAGAAAGGATTCTGCTGCCATGGGGCCTCTGGAGAACATGGTAGGCTAAGTGGAATTATGTTTATCTTTGTATTACTTGTGTGTGTTTGTTGTCTCAATGCAGTCTATAGACGTTTGTTATTACTTCACATTTCTTTCTTACTCATCTAGGTTAATGGCAACGCAAAGTAGTAATTAGACTTCGGGGAGTCTAGAGCGCCACACTCTGCTGCTAATAACGTAGTGATAACATTCAGCTGAAGGGGAGGAACACTTTGCAATGCCAAGGAACGTCAGACCATGATGTCGCTCGACAAATTCAAAGCCGGGGAAGTGGAAGATGGGAAGCCGAAGTCAACAATGAGTTCAGAGAAATGATCCTTAAGAAGTGAGGTTTGTTCCTAAGGTTACATGTTACATGTTAACTAGAATAGCACAGTAATTGACAAACTTCTCTTCTATAAAAAACATAAGGTTTTGCCTTAATATGTTTCTGTAAACACAATATGACAAACGATACCTGTTTGAGGACGAAAAATATATCAGTACCCTTCTTGTAAATTTTCTTCCAGATATGTCAAGTTCATACCCATTTTATTCAAAAAGGGTATAGTTCTAATATGTTTCCTGTGGAACACTTATTCTTCCAATTTGTGATGAGGATAGCCTCAATACCTTTACCCCAAGATTTAGAGAAATTTTATTCAATTAGATGGCGATCAAGTTCCTTTTTATGTGACAAATGACCAATGGTATAGGATCTAACAAGATCATGAAAACATTATGGGTTGGTGGTCTATTCTGGTTAAAATAACATTGAATATTCACAGTGCAACGTTTACGTTCTTTGCTTTTCTGTACCTATTGATTATTCTAGCAGAATCCATTTTACTATTTGTCATAGATGAAAATCTAATGCAAAAAGATGGGCCACTAGAGCACTGTTGAGTTCGTGTACTGAAACAACAATGGACTTGCATCTCATGTTGTGGAAAATGTGAAAAAAGTCTTTGGTTTGGAATGTCTGGGAAGAATATGAAGAATATCATCTGTATGCTTTGCCTGATAAAATTTTCGTACACATATATTCATTTTTACTATCTATTTGAATGAATATCCATATCTCATATGATTATGTTTGTTTCACTTAGAATCTTCATGATTCTATTGGATGCTTTCATAAATTTCTCATAGAATCGAGAATGGGGTTTTCGCTTGTACATGTTAGATCATGAATTAGTACCAATCTTCAAAAAGATCTAATTGTTTCACTTTCTATTTTCGGAATGGAATATTTACATAATCCCAATGATGGGATTAAACGCTATTCCATGTATTTGTATGATATTCTTTCTATTTTAAGCGAGTACTTGAGAGGGTTTAAGTGATGTATGAATTATGTTTCATTTTTTGTTTCTTTTATGTACTAAGACCATCTCCAACCCATAAATTGCACCAAATTGGCGTAAATTTGGTGCAAAACACTATTCCATCTCCATACAACACCAAATATTACACCAAAAGAATATTTCTTAGAATATTCTTTTTTTTCCTTTTATTGTAATGATCAACAATTAATCTATGTCACTCATTATTTGTATTTATTAATTAAATATTAGGAATGATATTTTATTAAATTAATATTTGAAAATTATACTAATAATAAAATTAAACATTTATTTAATCAAATAACATTACATTTAATATAGAAAAACATTACAATATAAAATGATACAAAAAAAAAAAAAAAAAAAAAAACAACAACAACAGCACAAAGGTAAAATTCTTTATTGATAGTAATTTAATTTTCCGTATTAGTAGTTCTTCTCACAAATGATAATTAATGCATTTCGAAGAGCATGGTGAGCTTCTATACCTTGATTTGTTTATGTCGAGTAAGAAATTTCGAAATCGGACATTCCTCAATTTGGTGTTAATTTTTATTTAAGTATGTAGTTTAATATTTGCATTGAATAAAGTTCTATTTTTAATTTTCTCATTTTTGAATTATATGATTATTATGAATTTATTATTATAAATAATAAAAACTAAATTAAAACAAATAATCAAATTGGTATGATTTTTGGTGTAAAATTTAATACTCAAATAACTTAACAAAACTAAAAAAAAAACCAAAAAAAAGCAAAATTAAAAAAAAAAAATTTATTGGGGCTACAAGCGCTTTTGTGGGGTTGGAGCACCAACCCACGCACTTTGGTGTTTTTTACACATTTTGGTGTGGGTTGGAGATGCCCTAAGTCATTACGTGCGAGATTCCCCCCGACGACCATTATTAACTTGTTCCCCCATGGGCTCTTTCCCATGTCACCTCCTGGAATCAGCTGTGTTCTAACTTCACGCCCATGAGTATCATATTGGACTTTGCTAACCCGTTTCTTATATTTGGAAGGGGTATTTATACAAGTTTACACCAAGAATTAGAGAGAACTGGGATTGCCATTAGACTTGGCAAGCGTTTCATGATTTTAGTGATTACGCGCTAGGATCGCGCAAATATTGATTCGTTCTTATCCCTCCCGAGACGTTCGAGATAAGGCTTATCCCTTGGTCTATCGAACAGCGTTATTGGATGGTAGGGACGAGGTTATGTTGAGTCGGACTTCAAGATTCCATGACCTTGAGATCACGTCGATCTACGCTTCCGGGCTACCGAGACTTTCGAGCTTACGACAAAATCACACACAACAGAATTTCTTTGGGTCTTTCTTACTTTTAATATAAGTAATCAGTTATGCATGTTTAAAGTTAAATGTTTGCACTTAAATAATATTTTTATAAGGAGATTAATTAATAGTAATCATTTTGATTAAGCATTATTGAAGTTAAAAAGTAGTATGTTCTCGATTGACGTAAAAGAATTTTAATCCATAAGCAAACAATGATTATAAATGTTTAACATTAAAATTCATGGATTCCTCTGAAATTAACTGGCTTTTATGAGTATCATGATTAAACATTATTAAAATTATCTCATAAAATGTGGTTTCATAGGATTAACTAAAAACAAAGAGGAGAAGATGGAAAATTTAATCAAAAAAAACAACGAATGTTAAATAAGTACATAATGATCCATCCACTACCATTGAATAAGAGAAATAATTGAAAGAATTAGCATGTCAAAACATTGAGAGAAAAGTTCAAGATCTGTCTCATATTTCATTAATTCTCTCGCATAATATGATGCGTTGAAAAAAGAATGGAAAAGACTATAGCTATAAAATTTTCTCTCTTCTAATTGATTCATCTATTATTGGAAGTATAGGCTCCGTTTGGTTGCCAATTGGGAATACTACTTTTACATTCCCAAAAAAGTTAAACAGTAAAATACCCAAAATCTTTGATTTTTGGGAATACACTCCCAATATTATTCAACTTTTTTTAAACCCCTTAAATTTGATAATTTAATTAAATACCCCTAAATATTTTTTAAAAATTACAAAAACACCCAGTAATTCATATTTACCAGATTCCGGCCACCACTGCCGGAAAATGGCCGAATCTGTTAGGATGGCGCACTACCGGCTGAATCTGGCCGGTAGTGCGCCGATCTAGCCTTTTCCGGTCAGATCACGGTGGATCTGGCCGAAAAAGGCCAGTCTTTGGCCGTAACGGTTTATAACGACGGCAACAAAAAGGTCGTCAACGACGACCGTTGTGGTCGTCGTTGATGAGAAAATACGGCCAGATCTGGCCGTAAATCTAGCCTTTGTCGGCCAGATCCACCGTGGATCTGGCCGGCAAAGGCCATATCGGCGCACGACCGGCAAGATCCAGCCGGTCATGCGTCAATAAGGTGACAGCCACCCTCCGGCGATGGTGGCCGCGGTGTCCATATTTGACATTGGGTTGGGGTGTTTTTGTTAACTTTTAAGATTTTATTATAGGGGGTTGTTCTGTAAATAAAAAAATATAGGGGGTATTTTATTAATTTATAAATCCTACATCGTAATACCCGTCCAATTCAACTTTTTTTTTACTTTTTTCAGAAAACTTTTCCCAAAAACACTCAATTGTGAACCAAACGGAGCCCAAGACTTTTCCACAATTCGTCATAAAATAAAGAATAAAACTTTATGTAAATGACCTTTTGTAGTTAAACAGCCTTTGAATAATCTTTCCCATGCCGTCCTATATATATATAATTAGACTTTGCAAAGCCACATTACTCTATAAAGTTGTCTATAGCCCTTTCCTTCTTGTTTCTGAGCTCTCACAACCATTCTTTTTTCAAGACTTTGAATAAGAATATGGCAAAGTTCGGGGTAGTGATTTTGCTGCTCATCGTCACCCTGGAAATGGCAGCCGTCCCTGGAATGGCTCAAACTTGGGCTCAGAAGCTCGTGACTGAAAAAGAGACGGTGACCAATTTGCGATTCTACTTCCATGACACACTAAGTGGGAAGAACCCAACTGCTGTTAGGGTGGCTCAGGCCACTGGCACTGATAAATCACCAACTCTTTTTGGTGTGGTGATGATGGTAGATGATCCGTTGACAGAAACTCCGGATCCGAAGTCCAAGCTCTTGGGGCGGGCTCAAGGGCTTTACGGGTCAGCTTGCCAGGATGAACTTGGTCTAGTCATGTCCATGAGCTTTGTGTTCACAGATGATATCTATAATGGCAGCTCTATCAGCCTCCTTGGTAACAATAGGGCAATGAATCCCGTTCGGGAGATGCCCATCGTCGGTGGCACCGGTATTTTCCGACTGGCACGTGGGTATGCAATTGCCAAGACGTATTGGTTTGATCTTACCACCGGTGATGCCATTGTTGGATACAATGTTACAGTTGTTCACTAGGACTTGTATGTCTAGCTTCTTCTATAATATTTATATTATTGACATATTATGCTTACATTTATAGTGTTTAACTAGTTTGGTATTTGAATAAATAAATTTTTTTTTTTCCTGAATACGAGATTACTGTTCATTTTACGATGACTTTGTTATTAGTTTTATGTGTTGGTAACCTAATTTAGACTGCAGTCAGCGTCCATTTCTTAACCAGCTTTTGTTGAATGCATAATGCACCAGCAACTTACACCTGGCCCATATATTCTTTCATGCATCATAAAATTAAAAGCCTTGCTGAACCACCATTGATGAACATTAATTACAGCTTTCCTCGCATGGTAACAGCCTATTGGGCCAGTGATACAAAATTTACAAATATAAGGCGTGGCGACAATATAATGACAGGGCTGGGATTCCTTAGATCATTTTGGTCGCAGATTAATTATGGTAAACTAAAATTTGATTTCAATTAAACCTTTAAAGATGTTGGTGCAAAGTTTTATGTCTGATCAATGAATTCCATAATGAATGAGATCCATCAGCCAGAGATAATCATTGTTTTAAAAACCGGACCGGAGGGTAATCCGTTCTGCTGGCTGGGTCATGGTTCAACCGGTCCAACCGATTAGACCGTCTGTTGGACTAGTGATGTCATCATACATCATGATGACATCAACACATTTTAAAATCATACTATTATATACTAAGTGCTAACCTAACATTTCGAATTCCTCTTCCAATAAGTTGAGTAATTAAAAGCTGGCCTCCCAACCATTATAATTGACTTGTTGAAACTTTATTTGTATTACAAAAACTACAAGATTAAAATATTTACAACACCCATGTAAATAAGTTGTGTAATGGCTACAAACTGGGATTGTACATTATCCCCAATTCTTTACACTAAAGCATGGACAGTTTATGGCTTCCAAATGATAAAAGGGATTAGTAAAATTTCAAAATCTGGATTCCCACTATTTCAAAACAAAAGCAAAAATGATAAAATAAACATAAAGTAGATCTTTTTATTTGCATATAAAAGTTATACAGTGGCTTGAATTCTAGTTCTGAAAATGCCTCTTATTAATACAAATAAAATTATATAACAACCAAGGCAAAAATAATTCATAAGTTTGGAAATCACAGAGCTTGAAGGACATCCGAAGACACACCTTCAAATGATTGAATCCATATGGCAAAATGTTACCAAAATTCACAAACAATCCACTATCTGCAATGCATCATTCAGAAATGGTAATCTGAGAGTACTAAGATTGTAATATATACTTCCCATACATCACTTCCACCCAAACACCAATAGCACCAAACAAAGTTAGAAACAATTCTATGCCAAAAATAATCTCCATACATCACTTCCACCCAAACAGCAACGACACCAAACAAACAGTTGCTTAAAAATTGTACAATAAAATATCCAGTACTGCCCGGATAATGGGATGCGAATTCTGTTAATAAATTGTAGCTAAAACAGTCAAACTTACTCTCTATTAAAAAAGGACAGAGAAAGCACACATTTCAGATTTCACAACAAAGGTCCCGAAGATTACAACTCACCTTGAATCAAATTGGATTGTCAAGACATGCATGCCAATCAGCCTTCATGCGTCGATTTCCGGCGAGGTAGGAACGCGTTGTCGATTTCCGGCTAGGGAGGAATGCGTCGTCGCGATTTCAGAGACTAGAGTTGCGATCGATTTCAGCAACGAATGGTTGTGATTTCCGCAAGGGATGGTTACGATTTCAACAAGATTGAGTTTTGATTTGTGATATTTTTCAGATTTTCGCGATTTCATTCAAATTTTTTCAGAGATTTTTGTGCGTAGAGGAAATGAGGAAGAAGAAATGCGCAGCGCAAAGGGAGAAAGTGAGACATTTAGGGTTTTTTCATTTTTTAGATTGGGCCGGTTTTTCTTTCTGTCTGGTTGGACCGACGGTCCAGCACTGTTTACACGGTCCAATGATGGGTTAAAGCGGTTTATTACGCAATAACGGGTTTTATGTTGACTTGAACCGGACACGTAACCGGTTCACGGTCCAACTGATTAGACCGGCAAGTTCGGTCCGGCTTTTAAAAGAGTGGAGATAATTGACTATAAATTGAGAGAATTGACAGGAGTTTAGACTAAATATAAACATTGAAGATGTCAGTAGTGGTCCATCTGGGCATGTGTAGAAGCCAGGTGGTTTTTGTTTGATCAATCTATTCTCACTTGGATTTGGTAAATATATTTCATCATCAATAATTTCTTCTATGAAATATATTTAAAGTTAACTACTTCTGAATAGTTGAGGCTTCGTTTGGTTCATTATTGGGTAGTTTTTAGAATAATCTTTTGAAAAAAGTTAAATTGGGTGGGTATTACGATGTAGAATTTTAAAAATTAATATAAATACCCCCTATGTTTATTTATTTACTAAACACCCCTATAATAAAATATTCAAAGTTAACAAAAACACCCCCAATCCACTCATAAATACGGACAACCGGCCACCACCGCCGGAGAGTGGCCGGAGTTGCCATATCGGTTTATGATCGGCTCGATATTATCGGTCTTGCATCGATATGGCCTTTTCTGGCCAAATCCACCGCGGATCTGGCCAGAAAAGGCCAAATCCACCGTGGATTTGGCTGGAAAAGGCTAGATCCGCGACTAGATCTGGCCATTGACGGCCAGATCTGGTCGCATTTGGTCGTCAACGATGGCCAAAGATACAGTCGCTGTTGATGGTCAACGACGACCCTATCCCTGTCGTCGTTGATGACTGTCAACAGCCAAAGATCTGGCCGTAGATCTGGCCTTTTCCAGCTAGATCCACCGTGGATCTAACCAGAAAAGGCTAGATCGACGCACTACCGGCCATATTCAGCCGGTAATGCACCATTACACCAGATTCTGGCCAACTTCCGATAGTGTGGCCAAAATCTGGTAAATTTGGGTTGCTGGGGCATTTTTGTCAACTTTTTAAAAAAAAATTGGGGGTTGTTTAGTTAAATTAACAAATTTAGGGGGTTTAAAGGAAATTAAAAATTCTAGANTATAAATTGAGAGAATTGACAGGAGTTTAGACTAAATATAAACATTGAAGATGTCAGTAGTGGTCCATCTGGGCATGTGTAAAAGCCAGGTGGTTTCTGTTTGATCAATCTATTCTCACTTGGATTTGGTAAATATATTTCATCATCAATAATTTCTTCTATGAAATATATTTAAAGTTAACTACTTCTGAATAGTTGAGGCTTCGTTTGGTTCATTATTGGGTAGTTTTTAGAATAATCTTTTGAAAAAAGTTAAATTAGGTGGGTATTACGATGTAGAATTTTAAAAATTAATATAAATACCCCTTATGTTTATTTATTTACTAAACACCCCTATAATAAAATATTCAAAGTTAATAAAAACACCCCCAATCCACTCATAAATATGGACAACCGGCCACCACCATCGAAGAGTGGCCGGAGTTGCCATATCGGTGTATGATCGGCTCGATATTACCGGTCGTGCATCGATATGGCCTTTTCCGGCCAAATCCATCGTGGATCTGGCCGGAAAAGGCCAAATCCACCGTGGATTTAGCTGGAAAAGGCTAGATCCGCGATTAGATCTGGCCATTGACGGCCAGATCTAGCCGCATTTGGTCGTCAACGATGGCCAAAGATACGATCGCCGTTGATGGTCAACGACGACCCTATCCCTGTCGTCGTTGATGACTGTCAACAGCCAAAGATCTGGCCGTTGATGGCCAGATCTTTGGCCGTGGATCTAGCCTTTTCCAGCTAGATCCACCGTGGATCTGGCCGGAAAAGGCTAGATCGACGCACTACCGACCATATTCAGCCGGTAGTGCACCATTACACCAGATTCCGGCCAACTTCCAACAGTGGTGGCCAAAATCTGGTAAATTTGGGTTGCTGAGACATTTTTGTCAACTTTTTAAAAAAAAAAATTAGGGGTTGTTTAGTTAAATTAACAAATTTAGGGGGTTTAAAGGAAATTAAAAATTTTAGAATTATATTTTGGAAAATAGGTGAAACAAACTAAACTTTTTTGGGAAAACTAAAAAAGTTTTCCCAATATATGAACCAAACGAAGTCTGAGTGATTCAATAGAAACTCTTGAATATATTACTCAAAAAGTCTTGAGTTTGAATCATTCCCCAAGTGCTAATAAAGGTAAATACTAGAACTCTTATCCGATCTATATTTCCAGGATCTCAAAGGATTAATTAAAATACGAGTAAAGTGACCTAAACAATATATATATAGTATATCTATGTGTGTGTGTGTGTGTGTGTGTGTGTGTGTGTGTGACGTTACACGACAAATCCTTGACATATTGTTGGGAGACTATACCTAATGGCGGTTTCCAATTATTAGCAAGTTACAAAGAGAAAATGCAAGTGTGTCAGTGCACATGGTTTACTGGGTTTGAGAGGAAAATGCAAATGGCTGAGTCTCTCTACTGACATCCACAGGTCCCATTTGCCCCACACAGTGGAGTCTAGAGAAGACTGCTCAAGGAATCACCACTACCAATCATACATTGCTCTGTACCATTTCAGTTTGTGGACTCCATCAGAGCAATCGAAGAAGTTGTGTTCTTATGCCACTACGAAAGCATAAGAACACAAACTCCTTGGATTAAAGAAACTCATGGGATTATCAACAAGAAAATTCATCTCCACAAACTCTGCACTTGATGCGATTTTGGTTTACATATATTTTATATCCAATACATGCATTTGGGATAGATTAAGAAACAAAAATTTAAATGAGCATGATGAACTCATGTAGCCATAAAGTTCCAAGTTACATGAACGCCGACAAACTAAATCAAAGAGAATTTATGTTAGCCTAAAACTAATGTGCTACAGAAATTGGGAAGAGAAATGCAACAAAGAATGTAAAGATGGCAAGTGACAACTAGTTCTGAAATACAGATCAACGTGTACAACCAAAGGAGAAACTTATTCTAGTCAGAAGCATGACTGAACAAAAGGCAATGCTCATCCAATGGCTTAATAGGAACAAAAATCATCATATGCAAATATCTAACAAATAAACTACAATCTCTATAACCAGATGAAAAAGAAAGAAAGAAAGAAAGAAGAAACCACATCTTACATTCACTCCCTCTTGGTGATGACCATTGGGAAATGGCCATTTCAAATATTGTTTATCCTATGACCGCAAGGCTACAGCAGAACATGTAAACCTAATTTTCATCATTGTCCAAACTGATTTTGTTGATGATAACCAAACATCTTTTTCAATAGAGGAATGAGGCCAATTAATGCTAATTGAAGCTGTTCTGAACTATTAAAGCGAATACTGACTTGTCCTGCCCCTCTGTTATTCAAATTGGCTCGAGCAATCATATTTGTTGATCGTCCAATAGGTACCTGGGACTGTATATTGCATCCAATGGCTAGGTCACCATGCCAATCCATGACAGAAAGCCCAAGAGTTGACAGTGAACGACCAAGAGGATAGTCCTTATCTCTCAACTGGGCCTCCAAACTACCTCCATAAGCAACATCACCACGACTGGTCATAGCACCACCAGTCATAACCACCCTGAATCGTTTGTTCACAATCAATTTGTCTTCAACTTTCATGCCACCTGATAAGGAATCACCCATTTGTGTAAGCGAGAGGCCAGCTGTTGCCTTATTCCTCCTAAAATTACTAAATCTTGTCTCACTACGCAGCGTATAAGCTAAGTCCTTTCCAACAGTCTGCATGTCAAAACCTAAAGATGTTACTTTCCCTTCGCCATGCTTTAGAGAACTGGTCATTTCCATTTGCACATTGGCATCCTTCTTATCCTTTGTAACCTGGCCAGAAAATGATACTGGAATTTTGTTTTTAACAACAAACAGTCTTTCTACATTTATACCTTCATAACCAACATCATGATCCCAACCATGAGTTTCTAAAACAGGCCTCACAAGCCATTGGTTGGACGAATCAAGATAACGGTACCGGTGAGTGGGATTATCAGAGTCAAAAGAAGCAGGTAATGCTAAATCTGGCATAGGAACTGGCACAGATGCTGCACCACCACTTTCCTCCTCTACGTTATCATTGTAGTCACTTGGCAGATCTTGAGCTGCAGCTGCCATTTTCTTCATCATCTTCCGTCGCCTTTTTTCTTCTTTCAACTGCTTCTTCATAAATAGTTTTTCCCTATATTCTAACTCATCAAAATATGCCTTCTTCTGAGATCTAGAAAGCTTTGCCACCTGGGCCTTCGTCAAACGTTTAAATGGTGGCAATTCATCCAATTCTGATTCATCTTCAGATTCTGATGATTCATCCAACTCATCATCTAGACTGTCCTCATCACCAAACTGCTCCTCGGGCAGTTTAACATGTGGTCTTGATTGGAGGAGGGATGAAAGAAGGAATGGTAAAGGAGGAGCCCTTGATCGAGTTGTAGAGGGCTTCCCAGGTGGAGTATCTTGCAACTTTAAAAGGGCATTTGCTTCAGCCAGAATTTTTGATGCAAAAGAAAGCAATAATAAATGAGGCTTCCAAACTTGACCATTTGGCAGGACTCTCTGCCCAGCCCTATTTGTTCGGCATGCAGAGTGGTTCTCCACCAATGAAACAGGATTCATGAGCCGCATGTCCCCAGCTGCCTGCCGAATGGCTTGCTGGACAACATGAGAACGTTGAGTGACAAACATGTCATAACTAGAGGCAGTACCATTCGGGCCATCAGGTGGAGCAGAAGCTGCATGTGTCAGAACCACAATTGCATTAAACCATATAGATGGTCCAAATATTTCAGTGATGGTGCGTAATAGAGGCATATCACCGAAATCCCTGCTTTGCATGTCCAACCTATCAAGATACAGCACAATATCTGGGGGTGTTTTCTTGATAAAACGTTTAACAGAGTGAAGGATCTTCTCATTCTGTCGTTGATCTGACCCGGAAGGTAGAAGGCCTGGAGTATCAATAACCCGTACCCTAATCCCCTGCACAGTGCCCACAACATCCTGAACTTTCTTTGTACCCATCTGAAAAGCATCAGTATTGAACATAACTTCATCAAATATCGAATTAATGGTTGCACTTTTACCAACTCCACTCTTTCCAAGTACCATAATTGTACAAGAGAAATCAAGCGGTTCCTGCCCAGCTGCCTCAAGCTGCTCTGCCATGGCACTTGCACGGTCAAAGCTGAAGGCACCAACACGACCACCATTTCTCCCTCGCAGCTGCTCAGCTAATCCCAGTCTGTACAAGACCTGAGCCACAACAACATTATGTGGAGTCTGTCCAAGCCTATGCGCAAGACGCAGGAACTTTACCCTGATCATCTGAAGTTTTTCACGAGTTTCATCATACTCCTCAGTCTCCCCATTGCTAGGGTCTTCAATTTGCTGGGTTTGTGTATGGGATACAGCTCCATTTACACGAGGCTGTTGCACGACTCGAGGTGCAGGTTCCAAAAGCGGGGCAGCACGCCCAAGGCCAGCTGGAGGTGCAAGGCGGTTAGGAGGAGGATTTGTTGAGCTTGAAGTTGAAGAAGCAATCTCTGACGCAGGATGTTTAGGAGGAGGATTTGTTGAGCTTGAAGTTGAAGAAGCAATCTCTGCCGCAGGATGGTTAGGAGGAGGATTTGTTGAGCTTGAAGTTGAAGAAGCAATCTCTGACGCAGGATGTTTAGGAGGAGGATTTGTTGAGCTTGAAGTTGAAGAAGCAATCTCTGCCGCAGGATGGTTAGGAGGAGGATTTGTTGAGCTTGAAGTTGAAGAAGCAATCTCTGACGCAGGATGGGTAGGAGGAGGATTTGTTGAGCTTGAAGTTGAAGAAGCAATCTCAGATGCAGGTCGAATATCACATTCTCTTATTACTTGACTACTTTTCTGATTCTCTTCCCGATCCTTTTCTGCTTTCTTTTCAGGCACTTCAGCCCCAACATGAACCTCTTTAACTATTTCACCTGCACTTTGAGGTTGAGAATCAGTGCTTAAATCAATTGTACCCACCTGAATATTCTCATTCCCCTCATCTGTAGTTTTCTGTAAAGAAGGTGAGCCTCCAATCTCTGGAGTCACTGTCCCTTCCACAGCGTCTTTAGGCAAGTCAGCTAAAGTGCCTTCCAGTTTGCAAGCCTCCTCCTGATGCTCTGAATCAAGTTCAGTGGAAATATCTTTCACTTCTCCATTCACACCATTAGCTTGTGCAGCACCTACCCCAGATGTAGCATCTCTCAATTCCTCAGTCTCATTTATCTGATGCTCTTCATTCAGACTAGTCATTTTATCATTCAGTTCTTCAACCTTATCATCTAGAAGCCCCATATGAGAGACAGCTGCTGAATCAATACGCTCTGCAGCCTTCTGATCTTGAGATTCAACAACAAATTTACCCTCCTTCAATTCTCCACTCTCACCATCTGCAGGCAGAATGTCCCCATTCAACTCAATTTCTCTATCTTTTCCACCCATGGGATTTCCATTTTCCAATTTTGCATGAACTGGTGATTCCTCAAAATTCACTTTATCAGAATCCCCATTTTCGGGACTCTCAACCCCTACCTTCAGAACTTCACTTTCGACTCTTGCACCGACCTCAGATACCACCACTCCCTCATTCAATTTACCACTCACCTCTCCCCCCACAGTACCTCCTTCATCAATCTTATCTGGAACCTCCACTCCATCTTTCAATTCACCACTCACAACTTCCCCCACAGTTCCTCCCTCATCAATCTTATCAGGCACTGCAACCCCATTAACACTCTCCCCTTCTACCGTATCTTCCACTTCATCCTCAGCCTCATCCACATTCCTAGCCTCACCAGGAACAGCAGGAGCCTCCTCAAAACTCTCCATTTCACCACCTACACTAGAATTGTCATTAATCACTGGGAACCCTGAATCACCAACAACAAGATGATCATCTCCTGATGCATCTTTTGTTTCCTGATCAAGTGCGTGGTCATTTGTACCAACCGCCTCCTCAAAGACCTCCTCTACATCTTCTGACTCATCAGAGCCCACCTGAACCCTCTCCTCTACTTTCTCATCCCCAACCCTAACTTCTACAGGCTCATCAACTCCAACTTCTACAGGCTTATTAACCCCATTTTCCATTTTCAATATTGTAGCTTCAAAACCCTAGATTCAAGAAAAACCACCAAAACCCATTTAACCAAACAGATTAAAAATCAATAAAAACCCATTACAACCATCAAAAAAACCCACCAAATCAAAACCCTACAACAATAATTCATCTCCGATTCAAAAACAATATGTATCTCAATTAAAAAACAGATCTTTCTCTTTTCCCATAACTAATTACAATAATCAACTAAAAAATAACAGATCTTTACAGCGTTTTCATATGTTTTCATTAAGGATTATGCAAGACTTATAATCAAGTCAGAAACTTTTCGGTCATTCAATAAAAAGTAAACATTTAAAACTAAAATTAGAAAATAACCCACCTAAAAAAAAAAAAAAAGGAAAACTTTACCTGTATTTGTGGCTGCCAGAGAGAGAGAGAATAATTTATAAAGAGAGAGATGAAAAGGGGCAGTTAGTTTCAGTGTAAAGAATCGGCTTTCATGTGTTTATTTGATATCTAGTAACTTGGGCTTTGGAGGGTTTTGGTTGCCATGTTAGAGGGATGGTTAGAAGATAAGAGTCTGATGGACGGTTGAGAATGATTTCTGGGTTTGATCGGACGGTGTGAGATGGTTTCATTGGTATCAACGTGAAAGGCGCCAAATCATGCTGACGTGGACGTGACGAGGCGGAAAAAGGTCACCTGTTTATTTTAAAGACACTTACGGTCACTGTTGGGTTGTCACGTGGTGGATCTTTGTGGAACAATGTGGGCCGTTGATTTGATTTGATTTGATATGATTGATGATTGATTGAGGAACAATTTTGATTATCAACATGTAAAATGTCTTCTTCCTCTTAATTTTTATATGAATAATGCATAGAATTGATGGTCAATTTGACCTTCTCCTATTAGAATTTAGTGATTTTTTTATTTTCCAATACGAGCTTTTTAGTAAAAATATCTTACAAATTTTACAAAACAATTAAAGCCATTTCTATATTTATCAAAACGTATACGTATAGCAGGGTTGGTCTGGTAATTAATAAAATTTACTCTTTTTATTGGTTTTCTAGATTCAAACCACCTTCGGGTCACTTATCATATTTGTAGCTTTTCTGAAATATTTGATTGGTAGGGTATTCAATAGATCTCGAGATTAATTGAAGTATATACAAACAAGCTTGGATATCTCAGTTATTAAAAAAAAAAAAACCATACGCTATTATTGAAAAGTATTATATACATTTTTATAATTATCAAAATCCCTTGAAAATATTGGATAATTTATACTTTTCAATAACAACATGAAGTCATTTTTTTTTTTTCAGTAACTAAGGATGCGTTTGGTTTGTTATTTTGGATAGAATTTTGGAAATAATATTTGATAGTTGAATAGGGTGATTATCACAAGGTAAAATTTAAAAATTAACAAAAAAAACCTTTAGGTTTTCTAATTTAACTAAACACGTCAATATATAAAAATTTTGTAAAATGACAAAAACACTCTCACCCACCTACAGTGCCAAATTCCGACCACCACTGCTAGAATCTAGTCAGAATCTGGCGTTACGACGCAGATCGATCGGATCTGGTCGGACATGCGTTGATTTGGCCTTTTTCGGCCAGATCCACCACGAATCTAGCCGGAAAATGTCAAATCGACGGCCAAATCTAGTCGTCAACAGTCGCAAAAGGCCAGATCAGTGAATTACCAGCCAGTTTCGGTTGTTTGTAGGTTGTTTTGATAGATTCCGGCTACCACCAATAATGGTTGTCGGAATCTAGCAACTATGGATGGATGAGGGTATTTTTATTAATTTTTAAATTTTTTTCTGAAGATATTTAATGAAATTAATAAACTTACAGAGTGTAAAAATAATTAAAATTATATAATAGTATTTTCTAAATAATTAAATAAATAAATATTTTAGAAATAAGATTGAAAATAGGGTATGGAATAATAAACTAAATGCACCTAAAGTGTCCGAGCCTCCTGCAGCCGCCAGTTAAATCATGGGGGAAGATACGTCTAGTGGGGAATCGAACTTAGAAACATAAAGCCATTTTTATTTTTTTATTTTCCAGTAACTGAGATGTCCGAGCCTCCTGTGGTCCCCAGTTTAGTTCGTCCTTACCTACGGGCTATCCACGATTCATCAACAATTATGTGATAATGACTTAACAATAACAAATTAAAGGTAAAACAATGGAAGAACGATAATTCGTCGGTTAATTATACATTGATTATCCTTATTTGATGATAGAAGCTTCTGGTGATCCAACTTGATTAAACAAATTATATTTATTAATAATGTAGAAATAATAAGATGTGAATAGCCTATTAAGAGATAAAGGATGTTGTGATTACACAATGTGTGGACCATCTCTTCTTGATTGGTGAATTGGGTCGAGAGATTTGGACAGGTTTAGCCTAAGGAGAAAAACTTTAGGCTAATTAATTAGGGAGAATGACATTTTCCCACGCAAGGTTTGACAAAATAACACTTTCCCACCCATCAAGTTTTAAAATAACACTTTCCCACCCTTCGTTAAAATCTGTTATGTTTTCTGTTAATATTTGACTAAAAAGATGAAAATAACCTTAAATATTTGATTTTATAACTTTTTTTTTTTTTGAATTAGCCAAAAAGTAAGATATTAAAAAGTCAAAAAATAAAAAATAGTTAGCTCCAACTAAAAAGTTAAGAGTAATGTTATGAAATTGTTTAAAGTTAAATGGTCTACATATTTATTTATTTATAATGTCATAAATATCTCATCACTATTATTCAATAATCTACTAATATAATGTTTTTCATTTTTATTAATTAACATAAAAAATCTTAATAGTTAATATTCTTAATTAATTAAATAAACAAAGGAAAAAAAGCATCTTTACACTTAAATAAAGACTTTCACTTAACTAAATTTTAATTTATAATAAACTATTTAAGGGTATTTTTGTCTTTTAGTCAAATATTAACAGAAAACACTAACAGAACCTGATGAAATGTGAGAAAGTGTCATTTTGAAACTTGATGGGTGGGAAAGTGTCGTTTCGCCAAACCTTGGGTGGGAAAATGTTGTTCTCCCAATTAATTAATAGGTTAATGAGCTTTTTATCTATAATCAACTTACTCAAATAATAAATATAGAACAGCAAAACATGCATAATTGATAAACATTATAAACGTACATATTAAATGCTGTAACACCTACTGAAAACTAGTACAATGCATGCAATTAACAATGGAAAATTGGGCCCAAAAAGTTTTCTTTTCATTACAATTCCATGTCTTTTATACACAAAAGTTACTGTTTACAAAAGTGCATTTCAAAAGACCAAATAGGGGAACAGTGTAGCTATTGCTCCTCGCGCGCCGACGCCCCTCCAACCGCACCATCACCTAGAACCTGCATCCACAAAGGAAAATAACGGGGTGAGCACAAATAATGCTCAGTAAGTAAACTCTCTATCTGTCTGTCCCCGTGTGTGATTCTTAATTCTTTCCTTTTCTAATCTGTTTCTATTTCTGTTTCTAATAACATCACGGCCTCATCTTACCGGAGGTACGGCCGATGGCGTTCACACAGCACCATCTCACTTTCTATGGCTACCGGGCGGAATTCACACAGTACCAACCCTTTCTTATGACTACCGAGTGAGGATCACAAAGCACCAACTCGGTTTCTCCTAACTATCGGGTGGAGATCACCTAGCACCTACCCGTTCCTCATGAATTTGGGTAATGATCACCAAGCATTTACCCGTCTCTAGTCACTATCGGGGGATGATCACAAAGCATCAACCCGCTTCTACTAGCCGTTGGATGATGATCACAAAGCATCAACCTACATATCTCTTAACTAATCGGTAGTGGTCACAAAGCATCTACCCATTTCTATTCTACCATTGGGTGACGATCACTAAGCATCGACCCATCTCTATGGCTTATCGGATGATGATCACAAAGCATCAATCCGATCCCATAACGGTCGGTGATGATCACAAAGCATCATCCCAACTATACTACTCTTCTAACTCATTCTATTGTGCATTTTCATGCTCTCTCCCCGTAGAGTAATTTACCCACTAAGCTCTCTACCAAAGGGAATTTCTATACACAAAGTTTCCTACTCTTTCTTGGTCACTTTTCAATGCATATAACAATGCACATGGATGATTCATCTCTACTAGTGCACTTGTGAAATGCCAACATGCAATGTTGCAAGAATTAAGGTTCATTACTAACACTCACCTCTATAGGCATTTCATCAAACAACTCATGGCACTATAAAACTATATCATAGCCATGATCTAAAACTTTTCCAACCATCCAAAATGGGGAAAAACCCCTTCACAAAGCCACAAAGCCTGCCATAGAAAACACTTCCAAAAAGGGGATTCATAATACCCCTTAAACTTCATCTCAACTACCTTGCCAAACCAACACCCATTTCTCAAATTTGCAAAGTAAGAACATTCACAAAGCATAGAAATTTCCATTCAATACTCCATACATGGCATATTCATGCACATCATCACATACATACATCTTTCTATCAAAACCCTAATCAAGAAATTTCATGAATCTCAACTTGGGTTGGGTTTTACTTACTTGTTAAGGAGAGACTTCACAAATTCTTCCTTTCACTTGTTTAGCTTGATAACTCCTCAAATCTTAGGAAGCCTTAGGTTGCTTTTCTACCCCAAAACACTTCAAAAACTTGAAAAACCTTGATCAAAAGAAAAGAGAAATTGGGAGGAGAAGAATGAAGAGTCACGTTTTTGAGAAGAAGAAATGAAGGGTTCTTTGATTCTAATTCCTTATAATGAAATATTAACACACTCATTCCCTTTTGCCCTTGTTCTATTTTGGGAATTCCATCCATATCCTTTGATTCATTACAAACTCACCCCCATATCAACATATCTCCATGTAAAATCCTTACAATTCACTCCCCACTTTTCCTGCTAATAGGGGTAGAAGGGTCAAATTGTCCTTAGGGAAGAAAATGTCTAAAACTCAACCAACATGAAATTCGGCCCGTCGCCGCGGCGAAGACAGTTGTCGCCGCGGCGAAACTGTCCAGAGAGTTTCACCCTTGGTTCAACCCATCTTCGCCGCGGCGAAGATTCTTCTTCGCCCCGGCGAAGCTTGGTACACTCAAATTCTTCTATTTTCAACCAATTTCAGGGCAACAATCAACATAACATTCAAACAAACAAATATAACAAAAACCAACTCGATTAAGGGCGAAAGAGGAAACAATAACAACGTACCTCAAGCGGGGCGTTACAAATGCAAATCTCAATCATCAACAAAAATAATAGTTATATATATAAACTAATGAGATAAGTTTTGATTATAAAAGGGTCAAAATTATAGATAATTTTAAATAAATGGCATAGTAGTGATAATAACAATGGTTTGGGAATGAAGGAAATGTAGCTATGTTGATAGAGGGCTCACTTAGCATGCGAGAGCCTCAGGATCGATGCCTCGCATCTTCATTTTAACCACCCTTGGGTG